CGGTTTAGTCCAATCGTGGTGCAATGCAATATTATTGTAAAACTTAGATTCGGAGATGGGCAACATGTTCGGGCCACTCTTTCTGTTGATCTGTTCTGTTGACACCATCTGGTGTGACAATAGAATATATAGGACAATTCCTTCTGGCACCAACCCTACTACGGGTCAAAATTTAGAATAACCCAAACTCTCTTAAAATACGAAATATAAACACATTCCAATATTACCACCAACACAAGATCTGGTGTGCAGATAGAATATATAGGACCACTCTTTCTGCCACCTTCACCACAGCGGGTAAACATTTGAATAATTATATCTCTCATAACATGATGATCATGTCAGTGATTCTTTTCAAACTTGGTTTATCTAAACTTTTGACTAACAATTATTCCCATGCCGTACCTAGTAATTATTGTAGCATGCATACACATGCAAAAACTGTATGTATGTTTTGGCTAATCGCGGACAAATATGTATAACTTTTAATATCAATCATCCTAGGAATAATATAAAAGTCAAAATATGTGAGACACATCTTAATAGAGGGGATCGGGGACCCTAATCGTCATTTTAAATTGGGTGGAGGGAGAGGCACACGTACATAATTGAATAGACACATATTTTTACTTTGGTTTAGAAGAATTTTACTCCGAGTTTTAGTATGGAGGATTTTATAATGGGACCAGTCTCCCGGGATGTTTATATGTAATTGTTGAAGGTAATTGTTGAAACGGATTCCCTTCTGCTGAACGTTCTAGCAAATTCGCACTGCAACTACAAATCCAATGAGCCGTTCAGATTGTTTGAACGTAGCCGAAATACCACCAGGACAGTCAAAATTATTGGTGGGAGTTGACATAAACACACGCACTGTTGGCACCTGGAGCTATGACCCTGCCAAGGGCGGGCTTGTACTTAGTTTTCTTCAGCAGGTGAGAAGGTCAAATAGTCCTTTCGCACCTGAGTCCTTCTTAATCGCAAAAAATTTCACTTTCATTTTGTAATTACACCAAAACAATGTGTGTGTTTTTATGGGTACACCCCATCTCCGTAGGTGCTGTCGACAAAATATCCCGGGTAAAACATCAAAGAAAATTGACGCACTTGTAAAATTACAGGGCGAAGTGATCGCAGCTTAATAATAAATTAACTTCCAATCCTTGGTTTATTATTTTGTGTGTTTCCGGTTTCCAGGAGGTTAATACCTGCATTTTAAGAGAGATCTTAATACTATGACCGATATTAAGCCCAACAAATGTACATGTTCGTCGAAAAAAAGTATAATATTTTAATCTGCAAACACATTGTATTATTGTATACCACTGACATTTCGTAAAAAGAGGCTACGTTCTATACGGCATATGAAAAATATAAGTAAGAAAATATTGTTGATTTCAAATTTGAATTGAACACGTATCCAGACCCAGGATCGCATACAGTACAGTACCTTTTGATTACTTATTCATAACAATATAATTGAGTTTAATTTATCTTAGATTCGATTGATATTAAAAACATGATATTGCACACATTAGCCTCCGATATGCCAATGCTTATCTGTCCATATTTTGATACTTGCAATGGAAATTATTAATAAATAAGATTCCTAGTGGTCAATTACAAATTCGATTAGTTCCCTTCAATTTTCGGGATTTTGAAGTTTTCAGGCACATAATCCTACACCACTACCAAATACCTGCCGTATACCTTCGACGTTTTTCGCCCCTGAATATGAACACGTGAATTTATATGAACGTTAATGAAATACGTCGAACGTGCAATTTTTCAAAGATGAACAATTTCAAGATTGACAGAACAAATATTTGTTTTTTGTTTGTGGAGGATAAAAAGGAATTTTTGGAAAAATGTGGATGTGTGCAATGGGTGAAACGTTTAATTTGGAAGATGTATTTATTGGTTGATTTGTACTGCGATCTTACGAATCTTATTTATGTTAAGCCTTATTCTTTTGGCCAAGCAGGCACAGAGAATTTGGCTCGTTACATATTTCAACTTTAATTAGACATCCATCCAATTGGTACTTTAATCAACAGCAATTTTTACCTATGTCATGAAATGCTCCTTATCAAACTGAGGTAAAACCGCTGTGGTGTTGATTGACCTTTAATTAAATCGGAAAATTAAAAGCGAACAATAAGAAAATAAGTGAATAATTCAACCATAAAACTCGAAAAACAAGGCTGAGACGTTTGGCTGACGTTTGTTCGCTTTTCTGCAAGACAACCTCTGTCATTCCAATTAACCTCGGAAGGAATTATTAAATTGTGTCTATGATGGCATTCCATCAAAATTCATTACACGGGCTAATTTTAATCACCGGATTAACTTTCTTAGCCATCAACCCTCGACCTCCCTTAAACCCCTAACAAACGTATCATCTCATTACAAAGTTCGACTTCAACCTTCGATCTTTCATGGAGACATTTTAACGGCAATGACATCCCCGAAATAGGTTTACTTGGCTCTGTGGTAATTTGACACTTTTTAAGCATTGATTGTTTTAATCTTCGTCTCAAGAGCTAGATACTGCCCCTGTTTCAACAGAGCATGAAAAGGTTGCCGCCTTTCTGTTTTGTTAGAGGGAAGGAATTTCTACACGACAAAGGCATTAATAGGATGTGAAAAAGTGTCATTTTGACACTTTAGCGCACTCCAAGTAATGCCTGGACTCGACGTGGGTGTTCGCAGTCATCAGTAGTTTCCACTGCACTTCGTCCACGCACGATACCCAACATCACCGGCATTAGCATTTTGAAATTGGAATAACAATCGTCAACCATAATGTGTCCTAACAAGTCCTCAAGGACCAACCAATAAATATGCATTCTACATGCTCAACATAAGTGCCCTGCATTCCGCTCTCCCTCCCTCCCACTCGGTGTGATAGATTACGCTCTGCGGACCACGCACACAAGTGGAGTGGTTATTTATGAGTTTGTCTCACAATTTGTTGTTTGTATAGGTGCCGCTTTTCATCTTTAAGAGCCACCGAGGACGATGTGGAGGAACGTCAAGTGGCTCACTTTTAAGTCCCATGCTACTTATCTTATCGCAAGAGCGGAACTCTATTTTGTTGTTTGTATAAACAAATTTTCGAAAATATTTAAATAAACACTTTCACTCATTTTACCAAATTTGTCGTTGTTCTTTTATATCGCTGGTGATTGACATGCTTCGAGCTCATGTATTTTCACAAACAAATCATAAAGGGTCTAGAAATCCGGAGCAATTGCCTGCAATGAACAGTTTGAGTTTTCTATTTCAATGAAAGTGTTCCGAAGTATTTGAAAAAGGATTTGATTCAAAGTTTCAAAGATGGTAAACATCTATCGTTAATTTTGTTGTTTCCCACAATTCTATTAAAAGCCCTTACAATTCTCTTGAATGGAATCTCATTATATGCTGGACAACTTGTATAACGAAGAGATAGACTAGGACAATAATACCAGGACGTCTGATCAAATTAATATTATATAAAAATAATAAAAAATGTATATATAAAATAATATATAATTATACTTATACTAAACCAAATAACAACAAAGGTAAAGAAACTAAACTGGGTGAGTGCTATCTTCACTATTTTGTGAATTACCAAAGTAGCCAGAGTTTGTTTCTGAAAATCTCTACACAATTAAAAAAATCGAGAAAATGCTTATCGGGGTAGAACATTTTAATATTTTGATCTAGATTACATTCTGAAAGTGTTCTTAAAACCTACCAATATTGCTTTTATTGTTCATTAATAGCAATCGATTTCTTACAAAAACTAAGGTATTTCTAACATTTTATAAGAAACGAAGTGAATGCGAAAAAAACATCCTTTGTTTTTCTTCAATTTATTTAAGTAAAATAGCGGACAATTTGTACTTTTCTTTAGCATTCCTTAAGTTCATCAATAACGGGAAAACTAAGTAGAAAATCGATTCATTCATGGTAGACCAACTAATAAAGGTAAGTGTTAACCTCATTATTTTGTGAACTACCAAAATAGACAGTGTTTGTTTTTCAAAATCTTTACAAAAAAAAGCAAGGACATCAATTAAAAACATTTAAATATTTTTAGAATCTAGATGTACGGGGTCGCAAAAATGTTACTACTTCTTCGGAACGGTGGAGAGGCAAGCACAATAGTGTCAATAAAAAGAGTTTGGCGGCAGACATGTTTAACAATTTAACAAATCAACACAACATTTCAATAAAACAAGAAATGCTTATGATCTAATTGGGAAAGGAGCTCGTCGACAGAATAACGCCGTGTCGTCAGTTCCCTTGCCCTTTGGACGATAACTAGATGAGGGAACGTGTTGGAATTTCAGTGAAACGTCTTCCTTTCAAAGGCAAACAAGAACGCAGAGAGGAAGACAATAGGAAACCACACAACAAACGTTTGCACATAATAAAAATATAAATTCGAAACATATTTACCACAAACTTCACCAGCATACGCATTGAAAAGGGACGGCATGGTGATGTGAGCGAGAAAGGAATAGTGACGACATTTTTAATTGTAAACGGATTTAAAAAGACTGAAACCCAACACACACACACACCCTCAGGCTCATAATATCTTCTACTGGTTAACAGTTAGCTGAGAACAGAGAACATCAAGCCATTGAAGGCTCTCACACCATTGCATTGAGAACCACTCTTTAGTTCACACAACTCCTCCTCCTCCTCTCACTCATTATTCCAATTGGATTTGCAGCCAACAATTGAGTGTTTTTCAAACAAATAAATTGGCCACTCCTTCGTATTTCCAACTTGCCATCAGCCCTTCTCTTTCGCGCACCATGCTTCGACCATCTTACGATTTTTATTTGACCCAACATATAGTTGTCTTTGTCGCACAACAAACTTTGTTGGCAGCCCATTACGCTCCCTTCGCTCTTCGAACAGAAACACAAACAAACAAACTGGTTCTCTTCTGCCTTTGTCGTATGGGCTTCTAAGCTGGTGCGGGTTTCTGACACAATTCAGTTCGTCGTCGTTTGTCTTACGTTAAACACAGGAACGCTTCAATACAGAACGTACGATTAAAACCAGTTTTAAAATACATATAAATAAATACTAATACAAAACCAACAACCAAATAAAAAAATATTAACAAGCCGCTGGATATACAACAACGGCAAATAAAGAATATTTGTGATACAATTTTACAAAACACTTGCGGGTAACGGCGGTTAAACAAAACAAACCCCAAAGAAGAAATGCAGTTTAGTTGAGAAAATAATCCAACCTGCAATCTGCTTGACACGTAGAGAAAGAAAGAAAGAAAGATATTGTGATAGATACCTACCTACAAAAAAGGTGTGAAGTGAGTCCAAATTAAGAAAGAGTTCAATCGACTCGACAGGAAAATAAAACAGTGTCGTTATGTTGATCGGTTCGCATCCTTATCTGTGCAATCCAGCAGCAGGCGTTATGTCAGCCGACAACGCGCCCGTCGCGGCCGCAGCAAATCCCACAACTACAACAACAAACAGCAAGATCGCCGCCGGGTCTGCAACAGACTTTTCTATTGCAGCGATTATGGCCAGAGAAGACGCCTCTAGTCGGGAGTCATCCGTTAGAAGTGCCAGTAAGTTCAAATTCTCGATTTCGGTAAATCCGAAGCAAAAAAAAAAATCAGATAACTCCATTCCATGACTCTACATTGAATTCATTAATCTTCCAAAGGGCATTCGTATAACTTACAGCTGTAGCTGCCCTCTGTGGCTGGTTAATCATTTTTTTTTTTTCGAAAATCGGGTGAAGACATATCCATTAATAGAATGGCATTCCAAAGGTATTGAGAAATCGCTAATTAAGGCGGCGAAAATTGTGTAGCCCGCTAAACAAACTGGCTATACCCTCTCGAATTCGGACCAGTTAACGCCTATTAGCGTTCGCGTTTGTTAGCCAAAGAGACACATAAAACATTTTAATTAATACTGAAACGTTGTGAGGCATTGGCCCGACCGAATAACAAACAAAGATACGTTTTAATTTCACATTTTTATTATCCCCTTCGAGTTTTTATTGATTTTTTAAATAGCCCTATCCGTCCGTCAAGATGTGCTAAAGAGTAATCGCAGATCATTAGAAACCAAAATGAAATCCCAACATACAATTTATGGAATATTAATGGCGTGTAGAGATCATTATGATGACGATGACGATGATGAAGATGATGATGAATTGTAAAATTTAAACTTATTCCGTTTTTTGTTTTGTTTTTGCCCCCGCAGGTCCCATTTCCATAGAGGATGAAGTCGATGTTGATGTGGTCGACTGCAGTGATTCGGAAGAGCCACCATCCAAAGCCCGCCGTCTGAACAATTCCACATGTAGTACCAACAGCATTGGAAACGTATCTCAAACCCGTCTAAATACCAGCACGGCCTCCAGTGTTGGTCGCTCTACGCCGCCTCAATCGCCGGCCAGTGACATCGACGGCGAGCGCTCTTCGCCCGAACCAGCTCCCAAAGCGCCCAAAATCGTGGGATCATGCAATTGTGATGACTTGAAACCAGTCCAATGCCACCTGGAAACCAAGGAGCTGTGGGACCGTTTTCACGACCTGGGCACGGAGATGATTATCACCAAAACTGGAAGGTAAGCCTCAAAAACAAAACGAGTGACAAACAAAAACCGTTGAATTCAAAAACAAGGCTCCCCCAATCAGAGAATATGGCGAGTGCAAACTAACTGACAACGCAAACGAAGAGGATATAAAAACGAAACAATGACGACGAATATTACATTCATCATGCAATTGCGACATTATGGTGGCGCGGTACGTCGGCTACTTTGTTTCCATTCCCATTCTACATGGCCATTTCAGTAGAGTTTATTCTTGCTTGTCCGTCTCCCCGCAAAGCCGACTGGCCGCTCTGTCTGCGCGTTTGGCCACTACTCACTTTCGTGACAAATTGCGTTGTAATGTGAGTAGATTAACGCGTTTCGGGGTGATACATTTGCATGTGGGAACACATTTAATCCTTTTTTAATATCGCCAACGTCGCCGCCAGGGTTCTGAAAGTAGGCGCATAAAAATGGTGTTTGCAGCCGTGTGTTTTCTAAACACCAATAAGAGATACAAATAAATCGAAGTCGAAAATGGGAAAACGGCCCTGAATCGTTTCTGCGAATATGTGTGAGGTCGTTGCTCTAATTGTGACAAAATACAACCTCTCGTTTAGAGCGAACCCAAAGACCCATACCAAATGACTTTTATTTTCCCAGCACAATGTAAGAAGGCTCCCAAATGTCTAAACAATTTCATCAATCTCTCTTCTCAGACTTAGTAACAATGGTTTGCAGGGATAGTTTACTTCTCAAAATCTGTAAAATTAAAGTAGGCGTTTGACTTGTCATCACACAAACATTCCACAATTCCTTTGTTGCCAACCAGGAACAAAACGTAGAAACTCCTTCGATTCACAGCACAGCTGGACGCACAATAAATATTAAAACTAAACACTAAACATGTGTTTAAATATCACGCACAATCACACTATCTGTCACCTTCGCAGGAGGCCACACAAATTGACTTTTCGACCGGACGAAGGGAAGTTAAATAGCTGACTGGCCGTTCAACACCTTTGAGTTTGATTTTGTGGCATAAATCCCTAACTCCAGTGTAAAATGGTGACCTGCAAATCACTGCACTGTGCCTTCAGATTGGGTGGCCTGAATTGATTTAAAATAGGAATATGATATTTGTTTTGAGTAGCAGCAATCATTGACATTTGTTCTAATCAATGCCATGTTATTCTCTTATTTTCAGACGCATGTTTCCTACTGTCCGCGTAAGCTTTTCGGGGCCGCTGCGGCAAATACAACCGGCCGACCGTTATGCTGTTCTGCTCGATATTATCCCAATGGATTCGAAACGCTACCGCTATGCATACCACAGATCAGCGTGGCTGGTAGCAGGCAAAGCGGATCCTGCTCCGCCCGCCCGCCTGTACGCCCACCCTGACAGCCCTTTCAGCTGTGAAGCTCTGCGCAAACAAGTCATTTCCTTTGAGAAGGTCAAGTTGACCAACAATGAAATTGACAAAAATGGACAGGTAAGAATCTGTGGTCATTTTTTAAATTCGTTATTTCAAGAAATTACATTCGTGTCCCGGTGGTATGTTTGATTCAATTGCAAATTGTGTGTGTGTGAACGTGAGCGTGTGAAGCATTATTATTTGCCTCTCTAGCTCCACACCCTGAGCTAGATGAGAAGAGCCTCTAGTTCCTTAATTTGGTGGTGGATTCAAGACTTGTTTCCATTTCAGTGAATGAATTTTGTTTCGTTTCCCACACCAGTTTTTTCACTTTTCAATTTGTGGCAAGCGACGAAAAGCGCATGTCCATGCCAGAGGAATTTGTATTTCTCTCAAAAGAGGATTTGAAAGAAAGACTTAAGGGCCATTTTGTTTTTTTTTTACTTTTTTCCATATTGCGATTTTAACATGGAATTTCTTTTTTTTTTTTTTTTTGCAGATTGTTTTAAATTCGATGCATCGCTATCAACCCCGCATACATTTGGTTCGGTTGAGCCACGGACAAAGCATCCCCACTAATCCAAAAGAGTTGCTAGAAATGGACCACAAAACATATGTTTTCCCCGAGACCGTGTTTACAGCAGTGACGGCGTACCAAAATCAACTGATAACTAAACTGAAGATTGATTCGAATCCCTTTGCCAAAGGTTTTCGCGATTCGTCGAGATTGACCGACTTCGATCGTGATCCAATGGAAGCCCTGCTGCTGGAACAACAGCTGAGGTCGCCCCTACGACTGTTCCCAGATCCTCTGATGCAACAGTTTGCCGCCCAACAAGGAGCTGACCCCACATCAATGGCTATATTCGAAAAGGCACGCCAGCATCTGCAAATGTTCGGTGGAAATTCGCCCTACGCCCAACTGATGATGCCCCAAATGTACGCTCAACAGGCACCACCTCCGCCCGGTTTGGGCGCCTTCCATATGTTCCAGCAACAATGGCCCCAACTTACCGCCGGCTTCCTAGCATCTGCCAATCAACAAGCCGTCGCGCAAGCCCAGGCTCATGCACAAGCCGCTGCCCAGGCCCAAGCACAAGCTGCAGCTGCTGCCGCAAATCGCACACCTCCCCCGCCACCTACAGCATCAACGCCATCATCTACCTCCTCAGGCTCACCGTCACCCGACATGAGGCCCCGACAATTTCAAAGGTTTAGTCCCTACCAAGTACCACAGCACCCATCTCAGCCACGAAGCCCCCCAAACCACTAAGGGCGTCGCATTGTAAGCCTGGGGTCTAAGGACCCTACGAAACCCTTGCCAAAACCAGTATTAAGAATCTAAACAACCCCGCCTCTCTGAGGAGGACTTTTGTTTCGACGTTTCACTAGAGTTATTATGTTTGTTAAATTTGTTTGTACAGTTCATGGCAATTGTAAATTTTTGTTTTCTTTTTACTGCTTCGTCCACCGCTCCCACTGCACCTAGTTTAATTGACAACCATTTCATCCCTAACTTAAGTTATTTAAGACGAAACTCTCCTGTACTCAGTGTAAATTTATTTCCTACGAAGCCCAAGCTATGAGCACTCATTGTATTTTGGAATAGCTAATTTTAGAATACTTCCTTATTTTGAACTCTCACAGGAATACATATAAAACAAATAAATTTGTACATATTTAGCATAAGTAAATGCAGCTCAGGACGTGTGTTATAGCCCACCCCGCCCCAAACTCTATCGGGCTGTTGTTTACTGAGGGAGCTATAAACTGAACGTACTTATTATTGCCGCATTGAGTGTATCTACATAGGTTAAGTTCTTTGTGTTAGTTTAGTTCGTAGGCCATCAATTAAATATTTATAGCTCAAAAGAGCAACAAATCGAATGAAACAAATCTGTATATGCCGAAAAGAAAAACAAATGATACATGAATATTAAATCAAATTAAAAAATACAGCATGAATGGACACCATAAAAATCAAGGAAACATGTCTTTTTATTTCAATTCCAACAAATGCCGTGCTATGGGCCGGCGGCATTCCGCATGGCTGCGAGGTTTTTGTTTTCAGTGCAATGTACTTGGCATCCTGACATCCATTCGTTGCAGCCACTAAATCCTAAATATCCTGTGCTGCTGATGGACACCAATCGATACACTTGTCTCTTGTCGTTATGGGAATTGGAATTTCAATTCGTGTATTCGGTGTGAGTTCCTCACCGAATTTTCCGTCCCTTTTGTTTTGGGCATGCATGTAACTCGTACTGCCCAGGCAGTTGTGCACTGAAATGTGTGTATGCTAAATTGCGCTCCACAAAGTGCAGTGCAGAGCGGGGTTCGCTCATTCTGCTATGTTCACATGTTCACAAAATCTACAGAATGCACTCTACTTCATACCCACTGTTACACTCTCTCCACTGCACTTTGTTTCTTCGTTTCATTTCAGTTAATCACTCTTCTCACAAACGCTTTGTTTTTTCTTGTCTGGGGAAACGAATTCATTCATTATGGCCATTTACAAAGTGAAATTGTTTGCTGGTCGTCTTATGAGAGCAGCGACATTCTCGCTCTCCCCTACATTCCCTCATCTGACCATATTTTAACGATGTGCTGATAGATTATCCCAAGTACATACTCTTCCGAACTAGGGGCAATGAATGGAGCAAGAGGCATAGTTGTATTCCGCATGCTTAATAAAATGGCTCACATGACGTCAATTATATCACCATATGTTTCGGACTTGTAACCAAAGCCCAGATGAAACGGCTGGAATTGCTTGAAGTTTTGCATACACATCAATATTGGAATATTATCGACGAATAAGGCTGAATTAAAAAATATGTTCTCGTGGGTACATGGATAGTGCTAGGACTCTGAGATTTATTATGTAATTTCGTCCATGATAAATAAAATAGTACTCACATATAATTAATTTGAAATTTGTACTAAATGCAATAAGTGTGTTCGCCAACTCAATTGTTACTGAATGCTGTTCGATCACTCAAAACGATCACTGAGAACGAGTAGAACAGTTGTGTCACCGACAGCTTGCTTGCATTAATTAAATATTCTGCGACTTAATTTTAGCTTTCTTAACAACTACAAAATGTGACGCTATTTTTCATTTCCAATATTTTGTGCGAAAGACCGAAGTCACTGAGCAATCATTACTGAAGAAGTTGTAGTACAACCTATGAAACTTGGCCTATTCATATGGGACCAAAAAAAGTAGTGAAAAATGTAAACGATGAAGGAAAACAATATGATGTTTTGCAAGAATTTACAAGGAATAATTATAAGGCGAATTTGTCGGCATGTCGACGAAAAATTGACGTAAATACTACTGCAGAAAAGTCAGTTCAAAACTTAAATTACACCCAAGTGTTAGTATTTTATAGATGGAATGTTTTGGTTAATGGCACTGTCGATATTTTTCAGACAAAGGCTGCCGTAAAAATTAACTCTAGGTTTTCTTTTTTCTACAGGATTATTTGCAATATACAGTTACAAGAGGTTGCGATTTATTTCCTTGGACACTCCTGGTCACTCTCAAACTTTTTTCCATAATACTGAAAAAAATGGTTTCAGCGGCTCATGACTTCATTTATGGTTCCTACTCGTGCTTCAAAATGTTCAAACTTAAACTATGGCATAGTTTAACTTTAAGGGATGTATCAAAAACTTAACTCTCTACTAAAGTCTTATTGTGTCAATTTGATTTTTAAAGTATGCAACAATTGGCTTTGTTTATTTTAAACTTTTCACACAAACGTATGAAATTAAAAAAAAAAAAACAGCAACAAAACATGAACGGAATATTGGGGTCATTCCACAAAATCGAGCATTGAAATGAAGGACAATTTTGCTTTATAGCAAAACTACAAAATGTATTCCCCATTAATGTCGAGAACAATTTACAGCTGAATTTGAAATAATTTTAATATGTTTTCTTTATTTTTAATACATTTTTATTGTGCCATGACTTAAACATTTAAAAACGACAAATGTTGAAATACCTTTATACCTTAAATACCATAAACCCCGAACAGAAGCGTTGAGAAAATATTCGTTCTTGGAAATGTAAAGTTTAAGTTGGTTTGCCTAGGATAAGAAAAATAGTACATAAATGGTTAAACTTAAAAATTCTGAATATCCGAATATCCGGTGGGTACAATTATATGGGGGCTATACCCACACGTGGATCGATATATCACATTTTCAATACCAAGCATCCACCATACAAATATAGTGGGCTGTATCGTGATTTCAACAGACAAACGGAAAGACAGACATCGTTGAATCGACTTAGAATTTTATGGTGATCCTGACTTTATATAAACCTTAAGGGGTCTGTTTAATTTAGAATATACCCGCAATATCGTTGTGCATAGAAAAGCATATAATTACCAAAAGTAATACCGTTACCAACCGAGCTAGCAGTAAACAGTTTAAATTGAATATTAGAAAAACTCTTGTGCTTTTATTTAACTTTTTTACTCGGTGTTTTGCTCCCATTAGCGGAGCCCCTCTGATCTAAAAAGGGTCTATGATGAATATTTAGATGTGTTACGAACGAAATGACAAATTTAATATACCCTCCTTTCCAATGTGAAGGGTATAATAAGCTTGAAATTAACAATTGATTTACCACTAAGGAATGTCTGACGTCGCCGACTATATACTGCCTTGGATCTCTGTTGAATGTGAACTCAGTGTGTGTTTCCACTGACATTTATGGATGTATTTGAAAGTTGCATAGGACCTTTCGTAAAAAAATTTAATTCTCAAATAATGCTACGATGACAAAGCAATTCCTAAACTCAAAATCGTACAAAACAATGTATGGAAGCTATAGCACAGTCTGAATCGATTTGGCTCAAACATCGTAGACTTGATTCCTGTGTAACCTTAATATCTTGATCTTTTGTTCCTGCCCCGATCCACACGATCAACTAATTTCTTATATACATGCAATTAGCCGGGAAACTTCCTTGGGCTAGATAGCGGTATGCGCTGATTATGAAGGTATAGGACATATTTTAAAACCGAAATAGCAAAGTCACACTAGAATGAACCGAATATTTCTTCGACGAGATGCAGATGAATCTTTATTTAAAATTGAATATGTGTGTCTAATTGGTGTGCCATCCACACTCTCCCCCAAATTCGTGGAAAAGCTAAAAGACATTCATTTTCGAAAACCCGAAGCGATTAAATATTTTGTCAATTTTGACATTCGAACTTTGTGTCATTTTTCTTCAATGGTTGTGAGGCGATTTTAACACTCTCCCACATTAGTCTAATCATGACAAGAACGGGGCAACAGAGCGGAACGTTTTCAGCGGAAATTATCAGGTGGCAAAGAATATTGATTCGATATTTTCTCGAACACACACACACACCCTACCCTTATGTTGACATGCTTGCGTCTGCTTTAACCATAGGCATGATTCTCAGTACGAATACGTACTAATGATGAATGGGCACAGCCCCACACATTTTTAGCGGCCTTACTTTGTATAACAGACACTCAGTTTATTTTCAAATTAAAAGGAAATCTTTTACTTGCAAAGAAAAGATGTAAAACGAGCAAATTTTATGATTTTCCTTGTTGGAGGGAGGGGAAGAGAAGAAACCATTTAATGACTAGTATGCGCTGGCTGTCACATGCAAATGACTTCACGAAAATAGAACTTCAAAGCGCCCAAGGAGCATATCTCTCTGCGATCTCCACAGCATTGTAGGGTGCGTGCGGTTGATTGTGCCGACAATTAGATAACACCAAACGTTATCATTCCTGTTCGGAACTCAGACGGATAATTGCTCAGCCGCCTTAATCAATTTGCTCCTTGTCCAGTTGCATTAATGTGTTTCCTCCATTGTGTCCATAGGTAATCAAGATGTTATCGGCCAGCTCGTGTGTATTTGTTTTACATTAAAGCTAATTACATTGGCTAGGTCGATTAAAAAAAAAAAAACACCAGAGAAATGTGTAATGACCCAAAAAATCGAATGCGAGTGCGTGCCTAGATGTAAGTGAGTGACTTCACAATATCTAAGCCAAGTGTGGAAGAATTAGGATCACCCGAATGACTACATAGTTCAGATTGTCATCAGAAGAGATATGACAGCAAAAATGCGTAGTTCGTTTAATTGACAATATTGCACAGCAAAAACGTTAAATTTACACTTAGCCCCGTGATCCGATGAATAGACAGTTAGAGCTCCCTAGTGCTACTTGGTGAGGTGTTTGGTGAAGAATAACCGATCGGAAATATTTTGTACTTCTCATTTGTTTGCTTGACCTCGACTTTAAAATTTCAACCAAAGGTAAACGAAAATATGTGCATGGTGCAATGAAATCAAGGAAGGGTCCTGAAACCAATCGATTTTAATATTGCCCTCAGCCATACGACTAGCGAAGTATATATCATTTACTACGGCCAAAACGTCGAAATAACGGTTTAAACCATAGGTCTCTTTTGAACAAAACCGTTTCAGAATAATTGGAGTCGATCTAGCGATGTTCGTCCGTCCGTCTGTCTGTTCGGAAAATTGGTATATCGTAATATTCGGTCCACCCATTCCGGTCCACTCACCATGATATGAAAAAACTGCTACCAACTTCAGACTGCTGTCATTTCGAAGCCACTCGTCAGACAGCTGTTAAAATCATTCCGGTGACAGCTCATTATATTGTTTATAAGCGAACGAAAGCATTTTGGTGAGAATTTTCCATAAAAAAAGTTATTCGTGATGGGATTCAAGCGTGATAGTGTGATTTCTTTATATTTGGCTCGAAAACCACAACTGGCTATCGTTAGAGCACTCCAGCATTTAAATGTGAATAAATCTTTTGTGTCCCGTACCATTGCTCGTTACCGCGATACAGGTAGCGTAGCCTGACGTCAATGAAGTGGACGGAAGAAAACAGCAACATCAGCAGAAATGGTTCGAAAAGTAAAGAGGTGACTGCGAAACCCGCGTCGCAGTTGCCGAAAATGGCTCGTGAGCTGAACATATCGCAATATTCCATTCGGCAAATATTGAAAATGAGCTCGGGATAAAGCCATTGAAATTCCAAAAAGTGAAAGAATTTACTCCACAACAGTAAGAAAATAGACTTAGACTTAGTTGCTTCGCTTGGCCGTAAGTGGTGAACTGCCGAATTTGGGTTTCTCCGATGAGAAAACATTCGTTGTCCAGCTGTTTGTAAACAAACAAAATGATTGTGTTTAATTGCTTGATTGGCCACCAGAATAAATGCCGAATATTATCGCGAAAATATTCTGGAGGGTGTATTAAAGCCTTGGAGACGCAAACATTTTGCCAATGTTCGACTTTCTTTAATTTTGCGATAGCAATATTTTTAACTGTATTAGATGAAGTAAGAAAATGGAATACTTCGGTCGACTATATCTGGTAACTAACACAACCCTTCCTAAAAATTATCACATATATCATATACTTGTAAAGTGAAGGAAGTTACCAATAACGTCGAGATATTTATATAATATGTATTTAGGACCGATACGAAGTGGACAATATTAGCCCATTCCTTCGGAACCTACCCCATAGAGAGTCAACAATTTGAATATCCCTAACAGAAGTCAAAATATATTTAAATAATCCAACATTGGCTTAACTTGTTATTTATATATTCAAAATCGACGAAATTGTTTGTTTAATTGACAATTTTCAAACTTAACCTACCTTATTTTCATTGTACCACGGGTATGTGTAGATAATTTTCAACAGTGCACTGTGGGTAAAAAGTATGATTTTTGGCATAAAGTCATTTTTTTTGGTTTCATATTTTGAAATTCAACTGATTTCCTAAATGTAGATACCCATATTAGAAAAAAAATATTTAATATCAATGCGGGTTAAAAACCTTTTTTTCTGACGAGCTTTTAAAGTCAGCTGTT